AATTCACTAAACCTGATCATGTGAACCATCGAGTTCCAACTTCATGAAATCATACCAGTGGCTATATCTAAAGATCTTGGATACTATCTCATGTGTAGTCGTTGATCAGTGCGAATGAAGAGCCTTAAATTGCAAAGCTGTCCTATCACTTACACGGTTTAATGGTAATAATTATATTCAGAAAGAGGATCAATAGAACCAGTCTAATTAGGTCAAATAAATAACACAAGACAACAGTTAATCACAAAGAAATGTTATATCATTCTCATTAACGATAGTACTCCACTTTTATTTGGTGACTGAAATGAAAAATAAGACAAATAAATAAACACATTCATAAAATGAAATAACCATGTCGACAAAATTTAACACATGAACCAAAAGAGATTTTGTGTTTGGATAATAATAATTTCGGTACTAGTAGTTTGCTATTAAAAATAGTCCAGGAATTTTTACAGTGTCTTCCTAGCAATCACTTAGATATACTCAGTTATTCCTGATTGATTTCGTTCAAAGTATGATAACATATTTGGATGAAATTTCATGTCATCTTGTACCATGATTAATCATCCAGTTAGCACATGTGGAAATACACTCATTTCTAAGTCACTTGATCTATTTTTTTAATTATTCTGTCATTTACCTGACTCAATTTTATTCAATATCTTAAAAATCCACGTAGTCAGTAGTAAAAATACTACAGTATTTATCCTTCTTTTCGACTCGGCTTATCTAATTGGATGTACTTAAGTTCGGTTTACAGTCTATAATTAGTACATTTCTAGGGATGTGAGTCTTTAGTCCGGATACTGACTTACTTGTAGAAAATGAGTATGAAAAATTAGGTGTAATTCAAGGTTTGAAATATGAAATTATGCTTGATTATTGAAGTAGTGAAATTAAAATTCTCTAAAGTGACTCATGTTCAGATAAAGTGACATTTTATTGATAAGACATGAAATATCCTGCAAATTCAAGATGGATAACTTATTTTTATGAAGTTATCTACAAATGAATATCAGATTCTTGGGATTTTCATCAGTCCTATATTCTTCAGTTTACTGGAGTACTTTGTTTTTGACTTCAAACTCTTGAAGATGAACTATACTACGTAATCTCCAATTTTAAATCTTTACTGATTTAGATGAATGAGGGAACTGCACATCGGTAATTAATTTACTTCGTCAATTAAATTGGGAGTAAACTTTATTCATCAATCTAAGTTTCTTGTTTCTTTTCCATCTTAAAAAGTCGAACACTGGTACTCTACTAAAAGAGGGGACTGAAAGACTTAAAGCCTGATCAAATATTAAAAAACTGAAAGTTATACCACTATGACATTTGAAATGAATATTATCACGTCTTATGAATTACCACATAAACGAATATGTTACTTAAAGAAATAATGAAATCATTGTTCTCTTAGAAGAAAACTTCGAAGGAAGCATAAATACACATTAGGAAAGCAAAGTAAACAGTTTTTAGAATACTGTCAAAGGGCGATATACAAACTTGATCATAAAGATTTTTGTTCGTTAAAATGTCAGCTAAAGTTGGAAGGTTCCAAACTTAGTTAATTCCTGAAATTCTGGATCTTATCCACATTATGATTTTGACACTTTGATTAATATGGTCTAAAATACTGTTAAGATATTAATAAATTTAACCTTAACTTGTTGAGTTTGTAATTTTTGTTAGCAGAAACATTAACACCACTGGATGCCGGCTCACTGGTCTAGTTGGTTAAGCGCTTGGTGAGAGACTGATAGGTCGTGGGTTCGAATCTTGGGGGGGTGCGGGATCGTGGATGCGCACTGCTGAGAAGTCCCATGCTAGGACAAAACGGCCGTTCAATGCTTCCAGGTTTTCCATGGTGGTCTCGCTTCAATTGACTCATGATTTAAATCTGTGAAATTTCTAAAATATCCACAAACCCCTTCTGAAAATACTAATATTTAGTAATGTCACTCTAGTCCACCAAAGTTAAAAAAACTTAAGACTCCGAATTTTGAAATTAAAAGATATCGTAATCACTCATTACAGCATAAAGGTTAAAACTACTAATTCATCATGCTGATGTGTTTTACTGTGATAATTCAATGATTCCCTGAAAGAAAAAGGTTCCATTAAAAGAGTTCTTTTTGATAATACAATATACTTGTTCACGAGGTTGTAGAAATGATGTAAGTATGATCATTATGGGTTGTATGTGAATAGACTATCAATCTTGATTGGTAAATGTTGATTTAACTAAATAATTTATTGTTAAACTTAAAATAAATATCGTGAATTGATTCTAACTAGTCTAATGTAGGGATAGTCCGTGATATAAACTATATAATTTCAATAATCTCCACAAATTCTTGTACCAATCAAAATAAACACAAAAGTATGATGATTTATAACTCATTCCAGGTGCGAATATAGTAATGAGACAATGGTCACGTACTCCGACTCAAAACGTTTTGAAATACTGAAGAAAACGTAACATTTGGACCGAATTGTTGCCTCATTAATTACACGTAATTTCCTCCAAAATTGGAATTTAAACTCTTATAGCATTCTAGATGATCAATTTCATGATAATCACGACTGCCTGAATTTCTTGGTGTTCTATACCAAGTGAAGCCAAACTTAGGTCCATAGCTAACCGTCCCCGATTCATATTACTTTGTACATTTTGGTAAGAATAATACTGATCTAGTTCGAACAAAATTATTAATTATACTGACAATGATAAACACGCTATTCAGCATATAATTAAGTGAATTAATTTCTCTGAAATCTTTCCTGTATATTTTCTAATTCTAGTTGTAAAGAGATGACTGTAAGAACATATAAGTCCTTTTATTGTATGCGCAATCAATAATCATTACAGACATTCAAGTCCTTTCATTCCATAAAGTGTGAATTTGATGACAGTAAATTAGAGGTATACTTCGGGCAATATTCAGTAATCGATATTAGTAGATATCAGAAACCTCAAGATTCTCGATAGATGCAAACTTGCTTTGTTTTGTGGTGTAACTAAACACTTTATTATCAAGTTCAAATGTGGTTATCATTATACAGTCAGCAATATATATCCTTAAAGCGGATCACTATTACTGGTGAACTTTCATAAGCCTGGAGTCCTATTGAATAAATTCAAGCTACTGGAAATATTCGATATCTTTAGTGATGTTACATCCTCTGAAATGGGTGATCTAATTGTGAATTTTTACGTTGTTATTGATAAGTAAAATTACCAACACCCACTTGGAATACAAGTGAAACTGTCATTATCATCTACTAGTGGCGAAGAGACGCCTATAGCTAATGAGTTTTTAAATAAATTACAATGTATCGCAAATTAAGTTTTTCACAACTTCACATATTAAGAATATATGTATATGCGAAAGGTGTTCGTTAATATCGAGAAAATCAATAATCATTGGTTTAGGTAATGAAACGAACGCATTATACAATTGAATAAGAATTATTTTTCGAAAATATCATTTAATGAGGCTGCACAATTGTATTTATGGTGATTTTAAAAATATATTAGTTTACTGAAACACAGAAGCAAACCCAATTTGAGCGTAGCAATACTTATTGAAAGTATAAATCATCCGACTACATTATCTCATACTAGAGCGTTACTTAAATGTAACTCACATACTAAGAGCTATTTTATATACTTCGCGAAGTCAAAACGATTCATTCACATAATACAACTTGAATAGTTTTCATCAAATTACAAAAATTACCTAACAAGTATGTGAAAGTACCATTTCATGGAAATGAAATGTACAGAATTCGTACCAATATTAATACAAACAAAATGCATTTGTCAACTGAAATCAATTTCATTATATCTTATTTAAAAAAGCTATAAACTCAGTAGTGTCTTTTCATATAGCAGTTACCTATTATAAAATCACCCAGATTTCCGATAACCACGTAACTTGAATGTGTAGTAATTATGATTATTTCTAAGTCCTAGTTACTGCAGTATAAACTCTGGAACTATCTAATGTCAACCAAAGTGTCTACATATATGTATGTACATTCATTTATAGTCCATAGTCTAAAGTTAATAACTCTCAAGAAAATATTTTGTAAAGGCACACTGTAGTCTTGTACTAGTAGTCTTCAGAGAATGAAATTATGTAACTAAAGATGAAAATGTTGTATGTGAATAATCTATCACCTTAAAACTAAAGCCTTTGTGATTGAATAAGATGTTAGGCAAATAGATCTCAAGTTAAGTAATTTATTCAGGTTAATTAAGTTAATTCCTATTATAAAACAGGCATCAGGTAGAGAATCTCTGGCAAATAAAAATTGTTGAGTAGCTGTATCCCCTTTTTTATAACTCTCCAACAGTAAAAATAATTAACTTTGCATAAAACCCGCTTAGGACCTTCAGATCTCACTGTGAATACGATATCTGTAAATTATTGAATCGGTTCATATTTTCTAGCTTCAGTCTATTTGTAATAAAACATGACCAAACTAGTTTGAAAATCTATTCAATGCTTTACAGCTTTGATTTTTATCAGTAATAGCAGCTACTACTTGTTCAAAGTGATTTATTCAGGTTTCAAATTTTGTCTAAAGCAAAAGAACTATCGTTTTCATAAGAGACTATAAAGATAAAGTTTGCATAAGTTATTTTTTCCGGTGCCTTCATTAATCCAATGTTACATATAACCAACTGTTGTTTTGAGTAAGTTTACTTAACCACTTAATCATATAGGATAATTAGCAATCGTTAGTGATAACTTAAGCACCTTTTTATACATTAAGCACTGACAAGGTACACTTACGCAATACTGATAAGGCCCAGTAGAATTGAAACGTGACTCGTTCTAGTTACTAATCCTACTACAACTTTTAATGGCTCATTAACTATGATATCAAGATGTTAGCGAATATCATTATTAAATCAATTCTCAGATCCCTGATAAAAAACGTACCAGCATGTAATTTCTCGTCCAGAAAACAAATTACCACGGTATGTAAAATAACTTCAATTTTATTTGGATAAAACCTATTTACAATAGAATTGATTAAAATAATTAGCTAATCAAAATAAATAAGGATTTTTAACACATTTGTATGGTCTAGTCATGATTAAAGATAGTATGCTCAAAACACATGTAGCTACATGTATGGACTCTTGAGGAAAATCAGATAATAACTAAAATTTACATGTCAAAAGAAGAGAATCAGTAAGGTGAAGAAAAATGGAAAGAAAGGACATCATCACGGAAAAAATACTGTCAAAGGTGATTCACTTACAATAAATGAAATTAATTCTAACATGTCATCAATGTAAATGAATTATGAAGTGTTGAGTAAAACTACTCGTAATTATGTAAGTAGTAGGAGTAATACTACAATTGTTCGGACTCTAATCATCATCACCATGTTGTATTGCTACATTACATTTGATGACAATAACGGTCATAATAAATTACATAAAAGATAAAATCGCTTACTGAAAAATACAAAATGGCCATGTTTTAGATTTTTGCCCCATTTACAGGTAAAGTATAGTGTAAATCGTTATCTCTATTATTCTGAAACTGAACATAATTATTTGTATTCTTGATTATATCAGAGTGTGTATTTAAAAGTGATCCATACACACCTAATAAAAAATCCATAGATTCTTGAATTTTTCTTTCAGGAGCTTTATTCAGTTGTTTCTGTTGTGAATCAGTATTCATTAACATTAGTTTTTTCATCATGGTACTACTCTGTGGAGAAATATTGATCCCTTTTGTTGGTGATGTTAACTGTTTGTTTGTAGATAAACTATTAATTTGGGACTTTGGTGTATCCCATATTTTTGAGTTAGAACAATCTAACTTAAGATTACTTGAAAGCCACTGTTCATCAGAGAATTTAGTTTCGTTTGTATTGCGTAACATTGAACTAGGATAAGAATTCATCAATGAAGGAGGATATTGTCCATGAGAAAGAGGATACAGAGGTGATGCTGATAACTTAGATGATAGATTTATCGACGTCAGTGGTGATGTTGATGGTGCTGATGATAGAGGTGGAGGAGGAGATAAATGTTCTGAAATAGGATGATATTTATGGGCGTTGGATCGATGAATACTTAAATGATCTAAGATTGGTTCATAATTATTTGGTGCATATGATCTGTTGTAAAATGAGTTGTCATAGACAGGATTACTGCATGGATTTAGGAAAGGTGATGATAAAAATGGCGTTTGTTCGACTGAAATACGATTAAATAAATCTAAGAACGGTGGTACATCATCAACTGATGGATGAAATGAATTTAGGCCATTACTATTATTATTTGATATGAACTGTGATTTATGCATTACTGTAGGATGATGAAACATTGCAAGTGGAGTTGATGAAAACTGTTCAACATTAGATGGAATTGAATAATTTCTAGCTAATGACGCATAATAACTAGCCAAACGTAGATTAAATAATCGACTACGTTGTAATGAATTTGTTCGACGTCTTAATTTTCCAGTTGTACCTCCAATATATACATCTTCACATGATGGATCAAGCATCCAATAATTACCTTTCCCTGGATCATCATATGCACGTGGTACTTTAACGAAACATTTATTTAGTGATAAATTATGTCTTATAGAATTTTGCCAACCTTGTTTGTTGTTTTTATAATATGGAAAATTAGTTGTAATAAAATCATATATACCATTTAATGTTAAGCGTTTCTCTGAACTATTTCTAATTGCCATCATAATTAATGCATTATAACTGAATGGTGGTTTATCCGAATCAGGATTCTCTTTTGTTTTATTCGATTTTGATTTTTCATCTGTAACACTGTTGACATCATCTTCATCTTTTTCATTCTCTTTACTTTCTTTATCATCTTCATTTAGTTCATCGTCATCATCATCATCTTCACCTTGATCATCGTTATTATCATTGTCATCACCTTCTTCCTTCTCGTTATCTTCTGATAAATGCTGTCGTTTACTTTCATGATTTTCATCTTTGTTGTCATTATGTTCATAATAGTTGTTATTATTCATGCAATTCTCATTTCTATTAATATGATCAGTCAATTTGCGTTTCCTTTGTATAGGCGAACTACTCAATGGATTATTTGATAACATCGGATCAGATAATGAATAATTTAATGATTGTGGTGTTGATGGACTAATCGACAAAGAATCACTGGTTGATTGATAATTCATAGTATCTTCAGGTAATGTAAGATTAGTCATAACAGATGAATGATTCATATTTTCATTATGTATTGTTGTTGGCGTTGTTGACATTGTTGATGTTGTTGATAATCCAGATAATAAAGTAACAGGAATATTATCAGAATGATTAGAATTCAAATAATTTTCCCATGTATTATTCGATGTTGAATATCGATGAAGATTATACGTTTGATGATAATGTTGTTGACAATGATTACTGATTAGATTATGAAAAATATCATTCATTTCATAGTTTTGTAAACCATTATTATTAAGTTGTTTTTCTTTCAATTTATGTTGAATATTAGTCAATGATGTATTGATAATATTTGAATTGAATGGACTCAAATATAATAAATCTTGTTGTGTATTTTCAGTATTATCATGATTATTCAAGTTATTCATAGAACATTTCACAGTAGAATGTTCTTGTTCATCAGTTAAATTTAACATAGATTGTATACTAAAATTACTAATCAATTCATTAGATCCATTATGTTGTTGTGAAGACATTTTGTTTATAGTTTTTTTTTGGTATCCGTAAATGTAACTTTTAAGATTGTTCAAATAATTTATAGACAATTATATACTTTATATTTTTCATTGTATAAGTTAATTATTTGTTTCTATTTTATATTCAAAGCCTAAAAAACCAGTAAATTTCCAATAACCATTAAGCAGTTAATTTTCGCTTCTCTCATATGAAATTTTTCCAACCAATAAGAATGTACAATATACAGAACAGGTTGAGATTTTGTTCGTTTTTTTTGGTTTTGTTTTGTTTGTTTGTTTGCTTTTTTGACAATAGTTAGTTACGGGTATAGACGTTTTCTATCTCTATATATGAAAAATTATGGTGATAATAATTTAGAAAAGAAACTATTCATTATAGGGGTAAAGAAATAAATATATTTCTCCATTATGTATATATATGTATCACTTACTATACACATAGTTAATAGGGGGAGAAAGATAAAGTTGATTTTCATGAAATTTATGTAAATATGTGTATCTATATATTTTTTTGAACGATGTACATCCATGACAAAATAAAGTCAATGTCTGTCTGTATAAATATTATCACTATTATTCCATTGGCTAATAAGAGAATATTTTCATCACCAATTTTTCTCGCATTAATGTCAAAACATTTATGTGTATACAATGAAAAAATGGACTGATTTGTTGATTATAACATAAGATTAGAAATTTAAAGAAACTAAATTGAACAATGTCAAGTCAAAGACTAAAACTGAATAGACACGAAATGTTTTTTTAATTTTTTTTTTTTAAAAAGAAGAAAAAGACAGAAAAATAGTTATTTGAAATGATGGATAGTGGCTAGCAATGGAATATAGGACAAGCATTTCGTCCTATATTGGGACTCATCAACGGAATGTGCCTGCATTTCATAGTTGATATTCACTCAGGGAATTGAATCCAGTACTGTTCGCTTTAAACGCTATCACGTTATCCACTTAGCTACTGGTTTTTGATAGCCTTTTGCCTGTGTAATATGGTGAAGTTTAAGTTCTATTGGTATTGTTTGTTTGAATCCTCCCGTTAATGTTTAGGACTGCGATTGATCAGTCTCTTATTGGTGTATGTTTGATACTGTGTGTATTGTCTTAATTCACAAGCATTATAAGCAAAAATGGATAGTGACTAGATTCAAGTAAACAATACCAAGTGAAGTTATTTGAAGTGTTATGATGTCGATTTTTTGGTTTTAATAACTATACAAGTAGAATAAACAAACAATTTATTTAAAAGATAGTATAAAATTTTTTAAAAATGGTCTAGGGGTAATATTTTTTGACGTATGTATTGGTTTTGAGAAGATTCGTTTAATGTTTAGGTAGTATTTATTAAGCATTGATGTCAATTTAGGTACGATTACAAATTAGAAAGTTCTGAACAAATATTTGCCTCTAGTATTCGATTACTTAGAAGCGCACACTCACTAATCCACCAAGCATTGAGTCCAAGACTTTCAGGTTTCGTTGTGGGTACCTAGCTATTGGACTACTGAGTTATTTTCCGATATTACACATTTCCATTTTCAGTCAATTTGTGACATAGCGCGATGATCATCCAATGACACTGATGACAACTGTTTTGTGGTAATTATTATTAATTTGTAGTTGATATTCGTTACAGACTGACCTCAGTATAATATTCTAAAGATTTTGTTCAGTTTCAATATTAACTGATGTAAACTTAAGAATCACTGAAATAAGTCAGGGTACAATATAAAAGATTTTGATCTTCTGTTTAACTATTCAATGGTCTACACACACTCATTCAGCCTCAAGAAGGATTGGAATGCCTACGTTCATATATTACAATTAGCACTGTTTTATTCAGACCACTTAGTTGGGATCCAGTGATTTATATTTTTGTTTACTATATAGTTCAACTAGCATTCACTTCTTTCTGCGATTTATATCTTACTTCATGACGTGAGTGAAGTTAAATGGTCATAACTTCCCTTTTTCAAGATATTTATTACTAAACTTTGTATAATGGAAAGTTAATTGATTTCCACACATAATTTAGGTATATTCATTCTTTGCTTAGTTTAACTAAATATATTATCTTCCTATAGTTTCCGGAAACTTATTTAAAATAACGCTGCAAATATATATCAAAGATGTTTCAGTTAAGCATTAGTGCTTCGCGAATGTAATTATTTTATACCCTGAACTTTCGTAATATTTTACATAATTAATGGGATTCAGATTTTTTAGTTAAGTTATTCCTTGAAAAGCGGATGGAACTAACTAAACATACTGTTAAAAATAACAAATCAAAAGAAAACACTTCATTGAAACTATTTCCTGATACTTTAACATGTTTGAAAGATGACCTTTACCACCAAATTGCATCACCTCAGAAATAAGTTTCTTGAAGTTACAGTGAGAAACCGGGATCTCTGATGTCATTTATGGTAACAAAGAGAAGGAGACAACAGTTCGTTGATAACACTGGACATGACCCGCTCATACGACATAGACTGTGGGCTTTAACGAAGCTTTGTTCGTCCCAAAACTTGGCGATGTTCGGTCTAATCCCTATAGTAGATGTTTGTACATTACTAAAAAGTCTGAATCTGGTTCGAATTAACGGTCCTCTGTTTTCTAATCTTCGAGAGTTTACTAGCTAGTTTTAGGACACGTAAATTATCTTTCAATCATCGATATCCCTCTACAAATCACATAAGCAAAAGAAACAATTCAAAACATATCAAGAAAGTTTCGTCTATTTATACTCCAAATACTTTCTTTTTCAGTAAGTCTTAGTGTGAACATAAATCCAAATAATAATGCATTTTTTATCATTGGTTTACAAATGAATTTATAAACTAAAGACTATGTCGATCGTCCAGGATATATCTAATATAATAAATCCGTTTCAGTACAATGATAGTATAACTTTACATTTAACAGGTATCGCTCAGCAGGAAATAACTATATTTAATTTCTTGTAGTGTATGCAAATAATTTTATACCTGAAATAGAATATAATCATTAATCAAATCCACTGATGCATAATACCATATATTAAGCATTTAATATTTCGTTTAAATCCTGTTAAACATTTGAACAGATCAATTTCTCATTCTGATATTAAGCAAGTAAATACTGTATGATTTTAATTAAGATTATGCAACAGTTTCATGAGATTGTATTCAAATTAATTATTACTCATATGTATATAAGATATCATGTTTTAATTTAACACAGTACTTCTTTATTACAGATATTTACTCTATAAATAAAGGCCATGATCTGTTTTCTTCCAACTGAATTCTTGTACAGCTATGTTTAATGTAAACCATCCAGTAATCATGTTTTTTAAAACAAAATTTACAAAAATTAGAAGTCCATATTCAATAACATATAAACTAAATTACAAAAGTTCCAATTGGCAGTCTATGGAGAGAATAATATCAATACATTATATTTACTTGCATTAAATATTAATAGCTTATTTGATTTTTAAATTAAGAATTATGATCATTGCTATATAATGATGATGTGGATCATTATTTGCAACCAGTAGATCGAATACAATATTCTCTCAAATACATTTGTAGATCACTAACTTAGATGATCTATTCTGACTGATTGGGGGTCCGCTCGAGTTAGACGGGAACGGTGTGACTAAACAGCTCATTTCAAAGTCACATTTCGTGGTCAGCATTTAACGTGGATTACGCCTTTGATGAATCAAAGTACTATGGCTGCTTGGAAGACCGTATAACACAAAGGACGTTACTACGGAAATATAATGGTATGAATGAGTGCAGAGAATGTAGCGAGACCACCACCGCATGGACCAGTGCATGGTATACAATTAAATGATGAGCGTTGGTTGTCCTTGACTTTGACAGGGATCGATTACCTGTTCGATATTCATTGACCGGATAATTTATCTAGGGCTCAGTGACATTTCATTGGCCCTACACTTTCAACACGCACTGACAAATAATCTATAGGATAAAACAAAAATTTCAGTTTTAATTAAATTGAATTCCTTGAAATGATGAAACAGATTTCTAGCTTAGGTTATGTTGAATTTTGTAAAACTGATGGATTTATGGTAAAGCTTTGATGATTTTTCTGAACAGATTCATCGGATTTTACTTGACGTAGAATTGAACTGTTTAATTATTCCGAAAAGGCTATACTAGATAAATTTTATTACCTTGTCTGTGGATGATTGTCTCTAGATTCTTCGTCTGCTTCATTTATCAATGTATTTCGATTGGTTGACTTGTTTGGTATACAATGGTCTACGGTAAGAATATATAGAACTCCTTTTCACAAAAACATGAGTGACCCTTTCTTTGCAAAGTTTAACTTGTATAGAAATGCTATTACTGGGATAATGATTTAGCAAAATTTAAATTTTTTCAGATAAGTGATTTATATAGAAACTCTCAAGCTTCGAGTTTAACTCTCGAATCGCTAAAGAAGATTTCCGTAAGACCACCTGAATAAAAAAATAATAACCATCATCTAACTAGTAGTTAGTTTCAAAATGAACTGTCAAAAGTCCTAGGTGGTAGTGATAACCTCTTAAGATATTCATACTGGCAATAAAGCATTTATTGATTGTTGATACTGGATAGGAATACAGCTAAATCACAAATTAACTAGCGTTGAGAATCATTGAATCACTAGATTTCAACTATGCAATTTACAACAGTTTCATGCCTACAGCTAAACTGAGTTTCCGTATGTGTGTGTGTCCATGTACTGTTAAACAGTCTGAAATAAGGGCGAAATATCAGTCCAGCGATCTTTGATTTTCTAGTGTTTCATCAATTGGTATAAATTTTTGCTTGTTTTCTACGCAAGATACTCAACATCCATTGGCCGGGATACCATCAGCAACAGCCTTCTGTGGGAGAGAACAAACGAACTTCAAGCTGAAGAAGACAGTAGGAAAAGACTATGGAAATGGATAGGGCATACATTACGCAAATCATCAAACTGCATCATGAG